ATTATATATTGCATAGATATTTTATATATTAATAAATATATATGATATTTATTTTTTCTGTATTGTATATAGAAATGTATGTATAGAAATACATGTATATGTATAATACGTATTTAATTTTGTATAAAAGAAAACAGTTGTCACTTCATCTTTTCTTGCTGTTCATCTACACAAGCATCCATTCATTTTGGTTCTCCTTTGAAACCTGCTTGCTTTCCCAATAGTAGTGTCCGACTGGGGACACACACATGGTTGTTGTATGCCATTAAGACATACTTTCACTTGCTATTTTTAAGCCGTGTCCTTTTTTAGCTCTCCTTGAGTATGTGTATGATGTTGGGCTATCAGGGATATGTTTTACAGCGCTATTTCCTGGCATGGGAACAGGAGGTGTGCTTGAGAAGTGGCTTTCTTACAACACATGGACATAAGCTAAGCGGTCAGCATCCAGAGGGATGGATGGTCAGGGATGAGCTCCGACCAGATAACGTGGTAAAATAAGCACATTTCTAAATGAATCCTGCCTCTAAATGTGACAATACTTACTGTACTGCGTTTATACTCACAACTTTGAGGAGGACAAAATTCAGAAGGAGATGATTACTGTCTGAAAATGTGTATGGATATGCAGTTTTCACTCTGTTGTCAGAGGCACGAAATATTGAGAAGGTGCTTAAATATTCACAAATCCAGAAAGCCCTCTGACAATTGCTTTGACCTTTGAAATTGGTGAAGGAGGAGTTTGAGCTGCTTTGGTTAAGAAAGGTTGAGGGGGTCGTCCAATAGTGATGAGTAACTCCATTGTCTGCACCATAACCATTATGAACTTCCCAGTAGATGGGGAAGGGTTTTATTTTCCTCCTTCATGAGCAGGTCACGCAGCAGCTGTGGGAGAGGTTTTATTTTGGGTTTTTTCCATTTTTTTTCTAATTTAAATTGAAATGAGGATGTGATAATTATCATAAACAGTGGCAGAAAATGCATGGGACGTAGCTCTTCTGAGCGGTTTTATTCTTCAGAGAACCGAAGATCAGCCCATGCTCTCCTGAACTACTGAAAGTGCTCGGTTTGAGTTCTGCTTAATCTCCTCTCAGGGTGCATCCTCCTGATTTTTTGGATTGCAAAGCTCAGATAATTAATCTTTCTGAATATTTGTGTCATCTTGCTTATGTGTGTGTTCATCAGCGTACGTATAGCGTGCCAGGCATTGTGGCTTAGATCGAGAGCTCCGTGCCTTAACTCTGCAAATGCTGGGACTTATTTTTCCCCCCTCTTGAAGATAGAAAAAACATTTTGTCATGGTATGAGAGATTTGTTTGATGAGTATAAAACTAGTATAAATAGCCTCTCTCCCTGCCTTTCTACAAGATGCCCTTCTAGCTAAAGTGCTCGTTTTCTTATGAATGCAGCTGCAACTTCTCTCCTTTACAATATATTTACGAGCACTTTTATAAGAAATTATGATCAAGTTCTGGATTTATTTGAGAATATCCCAGTTAATTATGGGAACCATTCTTTATTTTCCTGTTTGTGAGCCATTCTAAACACTAAGGGTATTTTTCAAAAACTCTTTGAACACGGATTTACATGGGGCATCACAAGCAAAATATTGGGCTGGTAACAGTGCAGAAATCCTCTACTTTGGAGTGGGTATTTCAGGCTCTTGAGACATGCTGGGAGCTGTGCTCCTGCTGTCTCTGCTAGAAGGAGGTTTTCTTCTCTGATGCCGTGAGTTTGTTGTCTTTCATGATCGAAATAAAAAGTACAAAATTCATGAAGGAAAAAAAATAAATCTTTCTTCTGCCCTTATACTTATCTACTGATGTTATTTAGACTCTGCATTTTACTTTCTAATCCTCACTTGGACAGAAAACCCAACAAATTAAAACTGTATTAAAAACAGTGTGACCAGCAGGTCCAAGGAGGTGATCATCCCCCTGTACTTGGCACTGGTGAGGCTGCACCTCGAGTCCTGTGTTCAGTTCTGGGCCCCTCACTAGAAGAAGGATGTTGAGATTCTGGAGCGTGTTCAGAGAAGAGCCACAAGGATGGGGAGGGCTCTGGAGAACAAGCCTGATGAGGAGCGGCTGAGGGAACTGGGCTTGTTTAGCCTGGAGAAGAGAAGGCTGAGGGGAGACCTCATCACCACCTACAACTGCCTCAAGGGAGCTTGTGGAGAGGTGGGTGCTGGTCTCTTCTCCCAGGTGATGGGGGATAGAACAAGGGGAAATGGCACCAAGCTGTGCCAAGGGAGGTTCAGGTCAGAGATAAGGAGGAAGTTCTTTACTGAGAGGGTCGTCAGAAGCTGGCACAGGCTGCCCAGGGAGGTGGTGGAGTCACCATCCCTGGATGTGTTTAAGGAGCGGGTAGATGAGGTACTTAAGGATATGGTTTAGGGGGTAGACAGGAACGGTTGGACGTGATGATCTCAGAGGGCTTTTCCAACCCAGCGATTCTGTGATTCTGTGAAATGCTTACTTTTTTGTAAGGTTTTTGTTGTGTTTTTTTTTCTCTTTCAGACCTGGGCCTGGATCAGTTTATAGTGAAACGCTATGATGGGAAGGTGAGCACACTAGACTATTAAGTGTGTATTATTCCATGTCTTTTTTAACCTAGAGACTTTACCTGCATATGAGTGTAAGTTAAATGAAGTATTTGAAGTATTCTCGTCTGAGCTTTTTGTTATTTAGTAGCATTGCTGTGCTTTTCCTGTGATGACAGATTATTTTTTTAAAGGTAACTTATTTTAATGTTTATCTTTTTTTATATAGTGATAGGCCAGGAGGTTATAGGTTATAATTATGTTTCCTTGCTGCTTCTTTATGACTGTATGAGACCCTCACAGGTTACACCATTTCAGAGTGAACTTGCTTGACCAGACTTATCTCCAGATTCCTAAAGGACAAAGACTCTCTTGTGTTTTTATCGGCATCCCGAGCATGTATTTCCCCTCCTACCAAACAGCCTTACTCTGTTCCCCTTTTGAACCCTAGGTCCTTCCTACGGCGGTACACGGCTGTTCTGGATGCTTGTGCTGCCATGTTACGCGTTGGTAAAATGTTCAGCATGCTCTGATCTAGATTTGTCTGCCTGCGTAAGTGGAGCCATGGTGCATCCTATCTGGTATTATGCGAATAAAGACCCAATTAACCACACTGTAAATCCCATTGGTATGGAGGAGTACGGTAAAAGCAGCACTGGCTCTAGACTAGTGGCTCATATCGACTTCTTGATGCAGATAACTGCAGGTTAATTAATTTTCCATCGTATCACCATGGGACACATAATGGCACTCCAGTTTTTAGCAATATTTTCATTTAATCTGCATTATCTGAAAATAAAGCTTGTTTTTCCAAAGGGAACTCGGCATCTGATCCCTCCATCACTACGTGATGTACCTGACACACAGCGTCAGACGTTTCCAGAAAGCCTTGGCACTGAAAAAAAACGCATTTAAAGCTGTAGGTAAACACAGCGTAGGCCGAACACGCGCAGCTCCCTGTCTTGTTCAGTGTCTAACAGGGAAAGGTAACGACAGAAGGTGATCAAATGCCTGGGGTCTCTGTCATCAGTGGTGTACAAGTGTTCTGGTTACCCAGGCAGCAGAGCGAGATTTTGCTTGGAAACAGACAATTGCAGAGTAGTTTTTGGCAGTTGGTTTTGACGCGTGCACTACGAAGCATGTTGTGAACGCTTGTTTTCTTCTCCCCCTGCCACAAATCCGATGTCTGTTTTTCGTGATTTGAAAAAGAAAAGGGAAAAAAAAACCACCAATAAAAAGAGAGCACATGTATTCTTTGCAAAATATCAAATATTCTTCCCTCTGGTTTATGACAGTCTGTTTTACATCCGCTCACTTTCATCATTTTATCTTGTCAAGCTATCACGCTCATCCCTTAGGCTTTACATAAACAAGATTTGTTTGTGGGGAGGAAATGCTGAATCCCTCACTTTTTGCTAATCATTCCTCTGTTCCTGAGCAGTCAGCTCCTATCACGTTGGATAAAAGATCTAAAGGAACTCAACTTTCTGTTCCTCTGCCCTTCAGCACCGAGGGCTTGATCTGCAACGTATTTGGAAGTGATGGGCACAGTCACCACACAGGGGTGTTGAAAACCCACAGTCGGTGTTTGAGGTACTGTGCTCAACTGTGCATTGTCAGCCAGGCTTTTAGGTCCTTGCCGTTCAGCGTGGAGAACATCTATGCTGGCTGGAGGGTGGAAAACAGATAGCCTCTGCCTTATGCACTAACCATCTTAGCTCTGACTTGTAGCAGAGTGAAATCGCTTTTTATATAACTTACAGGTGTCGGTGCTGCACTTGGGTGCCTACGTGCTGTGGTTTGGATAGTTTGAAAGTGAGGCAGCAGATTTAGGGTACTGCAATGGACTCTTCTTTATTGTTATCTTCTCTCAGGACTCATTTTTCCCACACTCTAATAACACCCTAGAAGCAGTTTGCTCTATTTAAAATGAAGAAATAGAGGTTTTTGTTTGCTTGGCTGTCTGCTTAAAGACACCTTGGGTCTGACTAAACCTGGCTGTGGCTATTAGGGTAGTGGTAATGTCCAGGTGAGAAGGTAATTTGCGGAGAGTATAAAATAAGTTGACCTTGGCTCTGCCTTGGTAATGAAAGGAGCTGACAGCAGATTGATCTGTCTGATAGCATCTTGTTCTCGTTTTATTGCTTGCTTTGGGTTTCAGTGTAAAAAACAGCACTGTCTTTACTCAGTTCAGCACCAACTGAGGTGTTGCAGAGCTGACCTTACTCATTTGGGTTTCACTTGCATAGAAGTGCCCAAGGGGTAAAACCCTTTTGCAACTCTTGCTCCTTGCCTGTTTCCAACCACGTGTTCCCCTTGGGTTATTAAAGCATCCTCTACCTGGAGGTGGCTTTCTGGTGCTTTCCCTTTGTGCGTTGGCGGAGCCGATGAGTTCAGGCAGAAGGGTGAGAGGTCCATCGTTCCCCTAAGCATCCTTACAAATGTCATGCAGAGGTAATGGGACTTGTGGTACAGGCATGCACTGAGAAAGCAATATACTTGCTCACTGGAAATTTCCTCTTTAAGTTTTAAGATGAAAGGAGTATGTGAGCAGTCAGACACGAGCAAGCTGTGGTAGTGAAGAAGTACTGACGATCTAGATCCTGGCTGGAGAGCAGAAAGGAGAATTCATTTTAGTTCCAAGCAAAAATGCATACCCGGGGTTGCATGAGAGTAATAATTTAGAAGGAGATTTGGTTGAATGAATAGAACCAGCTGCGCAGTCAGTCGCATTTTAATTACATATCACAGGACAAACTTTAGAGTATCAATGTAAATTGTGAGCGTGAGATTTAAATGCAGCGGCGTTAGTAAGCAGATGTGTAAGCTGCTCTTTTCACAGAACCAATTTTCTTTACGTAAAGCCACCATCAAAACAACTGGTTGGCTGTCGTGCGGTGATTGACCCTGGTCTTGCCAAAGGATTTTGTGGAGTGATTTGCTTCTGTATTGTAACTGTGTCAGGTTTCTGAAGCATCTTGCTGTGCATGTGATTGAATGCTATGGTGAGAACACAAGGCCCACTTATTTTTTCCTCTTCTTGCCCCTCCTTCTTCCTAGTGATAATTTATAGAGTTGATGGAGAGGGAGGTGAATGTTACTGCCTTATTAATGGGAACGGTGCTCCTGTAATTTGAGCCTAAATGCTGCTGCTTCATTCACTGCGAGACCAAAACTGCTGGAGACATTCATCCAGCAAAAACCCTTGGTCAGAGGTGTTTGCCAACATGAACTCATACTTCTCTTTCACCTGCTGCTGGGCTGAGTGAGTACAGAGGCAACTTTGTCCCTGGCTCCGTTTTTGTCCATTTTAGGTGCAGTGGTTTCTTCCCCAGGGAAGCAAGCTCTGGAAAGCAGAGGAAAAGAGACATTGAATTCTGTTTGTTCAGAATGAAAATAAATAAATAAATAAAATTCATCAGACTGCAGACATTTCAGAGTTTTCGTATTGAGCCTGATCTCTTTCACCTGCTGCTGGGCTGAGTGAGTACAGAGGCAACTTTGTCCCTGGCTCCGTTTTTGTCCATTTTAGGTGCAGTGGTTTCTTCCCCAGGGAAGCAAGCTCTGGAAAGCAGAGGAAAAGAGACATTGAATTCTGTTTGTTCAGAATGAAAAAAAATAAATAAAATTAATCAGACTGCAGACATTTCAGAGTTTTCGTACTGAGCCTGAACAAAAGGCTGATGTGAGAATAGACACCATCTAATGCACAGCTCAAGGTGCTGTGGTGTGAAGGTGTCCAGACCATAATTAACGTGCTCCATTTCCACTGTGTCTCTTTACTCCTGCATTTTGGCTGTGGGAAAGCAAATGCTTCTTTAAACCATCTGCAGGAGAAATATCTCATGTGATCCCTTCCCTTGTCCTACCATCTTCAAAAGCATGCCTCTGGTTAGGAGGAGCGAAGTCCTTTTAATTTAATTTATGATGTGCTTTTCCCTGCTGCGTAATGCTTGTTAGGGCTCAGGAAAGGGTGCTTTTGAGAGTGACATGGAAACGTAGTGCTTTTAAGAGGCTGCTAGCCTATTTAGGGAAAAAACCCCACCCTAGATGGCTCATTAGTTTAATACAGAATACATTTGACCTGCTCTTTTGTTCTCCCGTGAGGAAAATTTCTTGCTACAGCCTAATATGAACAAAAGTCTTCAAGCTACCAAAACTCACCCTCCTGCTGCTATTGCTGCAGTAAGTAATTATAGAGGCTTTCAATGCCCACTAATTACAATTTTGAATTAAGTATTTCCTGCCAACATTTATATTTACATCGCTAGATGCGTGGGGATGCTGTTTCGTAATGCAGAACAATATCAAACTGAGGGAAAATGCTTCAAATGGTTCCTGTAAGGGCCAGTAAAACATCTGAAATTTGCTTCCACTGTATAATGCAGGCTTGCATCATGGACCAGTACAATGATTAGCTTAAGCTACGCTTATCTGCCAAGGCTCTATAGCTGGAGGAGTGTGTCCAATAAAGAAGAGTTGCTGGGCGTCAGCTCAGGAGGAAGATTTCTTGGCAGATGATTTAAAGAGCATCTGGGGACCGGAGGAGCCTGAAAAAAATGTACTCAAGAAGGATCCCCAAGGAAAGGACTGGAGGCAGATGGACCATCCTTCTGTGGTGGATTGAGGGATCTTGTTGCCACGTTTGAAAGAGGGCAAAAGGAGCCTTTATTTATTAACCTGAATTTCTGGGGTCCTTTGGGTTGTGTATGAGCTAAGGCTGAAGCATGAGACTTGCACCAGAGTGATGGCAGCTGCTGTAGACCCAAGCTTGCAGCAGGACAAAGTCCTGCTGTCGTTCAGGAGCCAAACCTTGGATCAGAGCTCTGAGCTCGTGTGATGTTTAAGTGCCTCTGAAACCTTCATTTAAAAGGATGCAGCTCTAAATAAATACCTTAAGCTATTGTGATTCAGTAAATAGGAGCATCAAGTGCACATGCAAGTTCATTTACTGAGCCTGTTAACCGAGAAGGTTACTCAGTACTTTCTCTAGCTTAGATGCAATGAAAACAGGGAAGGAG